GTAGTCAGCCCAAGTGCGGTTGAAATCAACAGAACCATCTATTCTTCTCTGGAACACTGTCCAGCCCCCACCGTCTGTCGTCTGGTCACAATATACATCAAAGGCATCTGAATGATCAGGTTTGATTGTATAAACACCACTGATTGTCTGGCCAGACTCGTGCAGCTCAGCACAGTTCTTGACTGTGTCGAAGACACAAAAGTTTTGTCAATTAATTTGCACGTAAGTAAACAGGATGAGATAATTTCAATACTATAACAGTATTCGGCGAAACTAAATGAAAGAGAGAAAGAAAACCATGTGCACAAAACTTACATCTGTTTCGCTAATGGCTATGTTTGGTTGACCTTGAGAATCTAATACCTTTGACAACGGATTGGCATTTTAATGATCTGTTCGATACAAGTGGGCAGGCTTTTAAACAGCGCTTGTTGCAGTTGAGATTTTGAGACAACTTCCTCTCAGCTCACTTCAGAAGTGTCTCGGTTAAAGAACATTAGGTTCGTCGTTTAAACAGAAAGAATCAGCTGTGTGAGGCACTTTAGCGTTCACCCTATTGTACCCGGTTAAGAGATTAAGCTACGTTGTTTCCTCCAACAGTATTCAAAGAACAGACTTATGCGTATCCACCCATCCTTTACTTTAGCCGTATTCGCAGCGAGAAACCTACCACAAACATGATATGCTTTGCGTATTTCTCGCACACTACACAGTCTGCAGTTAACTAAACTAATACAAAGAAAATGATCATGAATGAGTGATAATTTAGCTCTTCATCATAATGGTGTAGGAGGGTAATCTTACTCACATCTAATAGGGACTCCATGCGCTGAAGATAAGATTGGAATCGTAAACAGTATTGCCCCAAACAGCAAAGTAGAATGTCTGGAAACAAAAGTCATCTTGTTGGTAGTTAGTAAGATCTTGAACTCCATGCGATAGGGTTGGTAAGATGTGATCAAAGCGACTTATCTTACAAACAAACCTGGAAGAATCACTAGTAGCAGTGTTTTGAACACTCTGGAGCTTCTGCAATTCAATGGCAACTAGACTGTAAATAATGCTATTGTAGTCTAAGCGGGATGTAACGTAGGCATTGACCAAAGTTTGAGTATCGTCGAGACTCGGAAATATCCCGATTCTTCTCGGATATTATGTAGAAGAAAGAAAGAAGATTTGCACGTTTATTAATACGGGTTTCCATGTTGAGTTGATTATCAAGCCGACATCCTAGATTCCTGACTACAGAGGAAGACGGGAAGGACCTACTCCCTACATACAGCGAGTCAATGTCAACTTTCGACAACTATTGCCTAGTTCCTATCACAATGAAATCCGTTTTGTTATCGTTAAGCTGCAGCCGATCCGTTGACATCTAAAAGAGCACTTAAAGAGCAGTCATTTTTAAAGTAATATTAATAAGAACCGTCTCGAAATGGAAAATAAGATATATTTGTATTAACATGACTATTTTTATATCTATCCTGACTTATAATAATTTCGACTCTTCTTTCTTATTACTTTGCGATAAATAATAAAGTAATAGATGGCTTAGAGTGACGAATTTTTCTAGATGGGTGACGTGTGGATATTTTCTTTCATAAATACTGTTTCGCGCTGAGTCGAGATTAAAGGTTGCATAATTACGGTCATGGTGGTGATCGCAAAGTAGGTCAAACTGAAAAATATTTTTAAGTGTAAAAAACCGTTGAAAAAGAAAAACTAATGTGATTCATTTGTTCTCACAAAGGATCGATTTAAATATGCGAAGCAAAAACATTTCTCAAACAAGAGTCATGACAGGACGGAAAATACGTGCACTGTAAGTACCTCCCGTTGTCCCATACAAAAGCCTTAGAAAAGTTTTCTAAGGCTTTATACTTAGAAAAGTACAACGGGAGGTACTTACAGTGCACGCGTTTTCCGTCTTTGAAAAGATGAGTAAAACAATTTGTGCAATGTTTGATGATCGGGGCTGTGAAAAACGGGCCTTAGCGCGCTTTCGCGATTTTCGCTCGAAAAGTATTGTTTTACAATATTTCAAAAAATGAAGGTGGTTTCGATTACTTTTAGACTAAAACAGATTCAGGGGAAAAGTCGGAAAGAAATCGATATTTGAACCGAAATACATCGGACCGCTCTTAGAGAGACTGCCTCTTAAAAGCCAACAAAGTACTTCATAACATTTTGAAGACCGACCACAATTTATTTTACATTGTTAAATACTTGGTAAACAACACACAATCAGAGAG